CCTCTTATCTGGAGTTATTTCCTAAAACAAGTAGGATTACAATTGAATTCTTCCGTCCCCGATATATATTTGTTAGCCGATCCACACAACTATAAAACCCTAGTTTACACAATTCTTCTGAATAGAGATACAATTGCTCATTTAACAGTACAGCCATGGCAGTCAAAGGGATTGAAGGGATTGAAGTCCATCACGAAAAGTATCGCTTGGACTTTTACATTACACCGCTTGACTACAACAACGTAGGTGGCTACGAGCCTTCCTCGCCGTCGGTTCAGTATGTAGTGAAGTTTGACTACCATGTCAACCACGCATACTTCGACGTTCATTCCTCGGCCGATATTGGAACCCGTCGTCGAACCCTAATCGACCAGTATCATGAACAAGAGGAGAAACCAGTCAAATTTGACCGAACGGAATTAAAGAGCTCTGACGAGGAGCTTCTTTCGGATGCGGTTTTGTCATTTGGAATCGAAAGATCAGGTGAGCATGGTGAGTTGCACAATGATATAATGGATATGATTATGAAGCGGGGTTGCGAAACTGAGCAACATAAGATTTGGATCAAGGATGTAGAGGTATCGGGGTTGTACGTTTATGTAGGAAAATCCCATGACACGTATCGGTGTGGGGAGTGTAAACTGAAGAGGCGTTTGGAGGAAGCAGTAGAGGTGGTTAAAGAGAGAATAAGGAAGAGAGATGTAATTAGGGCGTGTGATGATGTGAAGGAGGAGGAGGAGGGTATCAATCCGACGAACAAAGAAAAAGACGGAGGAGATCCGACCAAAAAAGAACAGGAAGGTAGAGCGAGAAAAAGAAGAAGAAATAAATACTACAAACCTGCTCGCAAGAGAAATATTAGGGTAAAGTGATGATGTGAAGGAGAGCTTGCGCACGTGTTTCAATGTTAAGTGTTTAGTGTGCCTATCGATTGAAATCTCTGCTTAGTACAATTTTTTTCTTTTTTGTCATAAACTACAAGAAGAAGTGTGTCTACGACAAATCTAGACAAATCTAAACAACAAAGAAAGTAAGAAACTGATAAACATGTTTATTGAGTCTTGTATTTTCATGCCCTTTTGCTTTTCAATTATATATATTGGTCATTTTGCTTGAATATTATGGCTTAATTTTGTGTTCTTAATTTCTTGGTTGGTTGGTTGGTTTGTTCTATTAATTCTGATAATGTACAGTTTTTCTTTTAGCTCTTAGTTTAAACGTTCAAAAACTATGAAGTACATAATATGAAAACACTCGATATGGATATCCAATTTTGCAGGTTTGAATAATTGAGAGATAACATGAAAACATTGAATAAGGATATTCAATTTTGTTTAACATAAGAAACCCAATTTTTTTCAGCTCCCGTAGGAAAACGAAAAAACTGACTAAATTAAAAAATAAAACCCAGCTCTAAGTAGCTTGTACAAAGACTCCCAAGTCCAATACAATGTAAAACTAGGCCAATACCTTACAACACTACACTAGATTCTAATGGCCTCTTAACTGGTCCTGGATTTCTATTAGGTGAAGATGGCTTCAACCCAGTCTCTGGCCTAAGGCTGCGGCGAACGGGTTTTACTTTGTTGCTCAAAATATCACTTTGACATTCAAAGCAACCGTCTTCAACCATATGAGCAAATCACAAGCAAGAAATTAGGTACCAAATAAAATCAAGGCAATAATTTGGTGAAGGATACTTAAATTTAATTAAACTAAAGTCAATTAAAGTTTACAATACTTAGAGATCTCAAAAATAAGGAAGGTAATTATTAATTACCGTGAGGAAGAAGTCCACAAGTTGCTAGGCTATCCCCCATAAAAAGCAACACTAATGTTGCAATGACCACCAGGTTTGCTGAAGAACCATTCATCATTAGAAGCAGAAACAATAACTTCGAAAATCCTGTCACTGCAATGTTAATAACGATGATATTTATAGACTTTAACTTGCAGGGGTTCGGAAGAGAATTACATGCTGTTAGCTTTCAAAAGGTTGACCTCTAAGTCTTCCATTCTTTTCGTCCCACATTTAGCTTTCATTTATTCTAATACCATATTCTTTCATATTTCATTGACGGTAGTGTACATTTTAATTCTTTAAAAATTTAATGTCACTCAGACTAAAACTTGATTACATAAAAAGAATCTTACTTATTATGCTCCTCAATTTAGTGCAATCACCAATATGCGTTGTGGCAACTAACTTGTCACAGACTCACAAGTCCCCTAAAAAATAAAAAAAATAAAAGTCTAAATTGAAGCCAAATTAGTTAATTTTTTTTTTTTTAAACAAACAATATTATTTACACTAAGGGAGATGAAGATAAGCTTAGTCTCACAATGGGCTAGTAATAATGTAATTCAAATTCGCCTTATATAATTAAAGGAGCGCGCCGACTCTCTAATATAGTGGAAGTCAAAAAAACTTTTTTAAAATACAGTTAACCAAACACTCATCTACTTTATTTCACGGCTGATTATTCAAAAAAGCACAGTAAAAAACAATTTTTCAAAAAAGCACAACAATTCCAAATTGACCCCTAGTGTGAAGAAATTTAAAATGAGTCACCTAATGAAGTGATGGTTACTTATTCGTCCAAATTAAGATGTCTCTCCTATTTTACGAGACTTGTGACAAGTGAATTCAAACATCGGCCGGCGCACTAGTTATTGAACCAAATTGAGGGGTATATGGTAGAAAATGAATGGAATGAATATTGGGCTTAGAGAATCCGTGTTCCAAAGGTGGAAGACTTTTGAACCGAATTGAGGGGTATATGGTAGAAAATGAATGGAACGAAAATTGGGCTAAAGAATCCGTGTTCCAAAGGTGGAAGACTTTTGAACCAAATTGAGGGGTATATGGTAGAAAATGAATGGAACGAAAATTGGGCTAAAAAATCCGTGTTCCGAAGGTGGAAGACTTTTGAACCAAATTGAGGGGTATATGGTAGAAAATGAATGGAATGAACATTGGGCTAAAGAATCCGTGTTCCAAAGGAGGAAGACTTTTGAACCAAATTGAGGGGTATATGGTAGAAAATGAATGGAATGAACGTTGGGCTAACCATTTGAAAGTCCAAACAAAAACCGGATTGCACGTAATTCTTGTGCAAATGCCAGTACGTTGAAGTCAACCTCTTGATACTGTTATTCGAATTTATATAGGGAACAGGATATTTATCGAATTCTCTTCGTGAGGATCCAAATAATCAATTAATAAAGTTCGTTTATCGTACATCATGTAATGTAATTAGAAATTATTTTAAATTTTTTATTTAAAATGAATATAAATATTACTTAACGAAAACTAACTGCACGATGTACGATAAACGAACAAAATTAATTGATTCCCATATCCTTACAAAAAAGATCCATAGAGGATCCTCGTCCTTTATATAGGTGGCTAAATGCACAAGTACTCCATAAATTTTGATGGCTGTATTTAATTGAGATTTTAAGGCATTTAAATATATTTATAAATTAATGGATTTTTCATTGGCAAGTGGCTTAGTGGAAAGGAATTGACCCATTACATGACGGTGTGGATTCAAACTCGGTCGATGGCTAATACTTTATAATCAATATGTCATTTTATTATGCACTAGTACTATTATTTCTTGATGTGTTTTTTAAGTGATTTGATTTGGGTGGCGGATATTCTAAAGTGATCTATGTTTGATATTGTAAATACACAATCCAAGATATAATATGAAATAAATTCACAATAGACTCTCTTTTAGGATAACCTTTAGGTGTGCAAACGCTTAGTGAGGGTAACAGAATGAAAGTTATGGGACTAAAATGCCTAAGTTGAAGCCAAATTTGTTAACCACTTTTAGCCCAAAATTCGTCAACCTTTTGAATAAGGGTCTCTCACATGCTCCTCTTAATTTTCGATCGTCAGATCATATAAAACTTTTTTTAAAAAAATCAATGGACAAAACTACCAAAAATGTGTGGAAGATAAAAAAGAATGATCCATTGAATAATCTAAACCAATTATTCAAGCACATAAAATTCTTCATCCCCCGAACCATTGAAAGGCTATAAAATGATCAATGTGGGAGGTTCACGCTTACTATACACTAAAAATTTAATTTTACACGTAATAATAAATAATCAAATTAAAGACAATCTCGATGATGTTAATGTCGGATCATGCCAGACTTAAAAATTTATCACATCCATTGTATCTACGAGTACTTTTGCTAGCATTCTCTTTCGTGGAAATAGAGACTACCACTGGTGAGAATACTTAATTTCCATTTGAAAATATAATATCAACAATGAATAAATTGATATCAATCACTTCACAACTTTTGGCTGGTCAACTATGGTATATGGCCTTTATAGGGATTATCATATTTTCAGATTCTTGATTGTGGATTAATCTCAAGATTTTTCTCTCATTTTTTTTTAACATTCCGAATATGTTAAAATCACTATTCTAAAAATCTCCGCTTAGCACCGTCTACGACCCGTCCTAGAGGGTTGATCACAGCCCCGATTAGTCCCTAGGCGTTCGAAAATTAAGTAAGTGTGCCTAGACCTGCTTAGGAGTCTGCCTAGGCGCATACCTAGCTCGCTTAAACCCACCTAGGCATCCATTTAGGTCACGACTCTCACTTAGACAGAAAATCGATAACTTTCATTTTGCACTTTAATTTTTCAAGAAAATGTAAAAGACTATTAAATACTTGGATGAACGCTTATTATATGCTTGTTCCCCGTGTTTTCAATATGTTATAATACTTTATAACCTATATGTCATTTTATTTTGCAATTTATGTATCTCAATACAATTATGTATGTTTTTTTTTAAGTATAAATACACTTATTTATACAAAATATAATAAGTTTACTTAAATCCGTCTAGTCTGCATATACCCCCGCCTAACCACCTAGGTGTTAGGCCCCATCCCGCCAAAGAATATCTTGTATGGCAGAGAATAAATGAAAGCTACATAAGTATGGGACGAAAAGAATGGAAGACTTAGGGGTCAACCTTTTGAAAGTTCAAAACACATAATTCTTTTCCGAACCCCTGCAAGTTAAAAGTCCATAAATCTTATCATCATTCATATTATGGTGATACGATTGTCGAAGTTATTGTTTCTGCTTCCGATGATGAATAGTTCTTCGGCAAACCTGGTGGTCATTGCAATATTAGTGTTGCTTCTTATGGGGGAATGCCGAGCAACTTGTGGACTTCCTCATGGTAATTAATGATTATCTTCCTAGTATGAGATCTCTAAGCACTGACCACTTATAGTGATTTTAGTTTTATTAATTTATATATCCTTCATTAATTTATTGATTTGATTATTTGGTAACTAATTTCTTGCTTGTGGTTTTCTCATATGGTTGAAGACGGTTGCTTTGAATATCAAAATGATATTTTGAGCAAGAAAGTAATGCCTGTTCGCCGCAGCCTTGGATTCAATCCGTGGAGTCCACCACCTCCACCTACTAAAGCTACACCACACCAACATGGCCGCTAAAGGAAGTTAGTGTTGTGTTGTAAGTTATTTGCCAAGTTTTAAGTTGTATTGGGGTTGGAGTCTTTGTACAGTCTACTTAGAGCTCGGTTTTATTTATTTAGTCAGTTTTTTCGTTTTCTTACGCGAGTTGAAAAATATTGGGTTTAGTATGTTAAACAAAATTGAATATCCTTGTCACCGAAAAAAAAAAATTGAATATCCTTATCAAGTGTTTTCATGTTATCTCTCAATTATTCAAACCTGCAAAATTTTATATCCTTATCGAGTGTTTTCATATTAAGTCCTTGTTTGGGCTCAAAATATTATTTTGGGCTGAGCTAGGAGTTGTTTTCGGCCCAGTAGTCTTCTAGAATTATCATGGGCCGTCTAGTCATCGTAGATCGACCAGTCAGGGTCAGCCAAATCCTACTAAAGGATGGATTGATTTAGATAAGGATGGAGTAGTCGAGACCTAGTGCAATGAGGAGACTTAAGATGTTGAGACTTAGGAGATGATCCTTGTAACGCCCCACCCCGAAATATTAATTTCGAGAAATGATATTGGTGACGGCCCAAAATAAACTTCGCTTTATTTAGTTAATTTTAAATCACGATTCTTTATTTAAAATTCCTTAATTCCTTCTCATTAAACATAAACATGTCTTAATTACCAAGGCATATGCTTAGATTTTCTTTTAAATCTAAAATTTCTTCTACTAACTCAACTTCTCAACAGAAATTAATTTTTGATTATCAAATTATGAGTTACCCACAAAGTCTATAACCCATCTCATTTTCCAAGAACATAAGGTATACGTTGTAAATTAATCTCCCAATTACTCTTCTTAGACAAATTCCAACGTATGATTAATCTCGGTTATTTAAGGCGGCATCTAACACTATTAGATTGCCTACGTACCCTTGAGCGGGATCAAGCCTTTCGTAGTTCACATTCCACTTTCTACTCATTATCGTCGACATTTCAATTATTAACAATCACAAATTCGATCCAAACAACTGATTCACATTAAATGTATTTTAAATATAGAGTCAGAACATTGAAATTTGCAAGAAAAAGGCAACGTCAGCCCACTGGCCACGCGCCGCCGCGTGTGGCAGTCGGCCGTGCCGAATCGCCGGAAAATCTCAATTATTTCCAAAAATTACTAAATTTTACAAGAAAGTAGATTTCAGTGAGGGGAACAATTTTCATACCTGCGGCCAAGTCCAATTTGGCCTGAAAAGCCTCAATTCCATTGAAATCCGTCAGAACCCTAGTAATGGTTCCACTTCAATTCGATATTTCTAGTGTTTTGTCGCCCCAAATTATGTTTGGGGTTTGTTCCTGGGACCAAAACAAGTTGACTGATGGTGGTACTCGATGGCGGTACCTGCAAAATTGACTGATCAATGCCACACCCCAAACGAACTCGTCGGTAAGCTCTAAGAGAAATCAAGGCCTATGTCACTAAATTTATGGGTGAAAAAGGAAGAAAAGGGATCAGGGGTGTTTCCCCAATATTTCCCCCGATGAAATTTCACCGGAAAAAGGGGCCGAAGGGACTGATTTGATCGTCGGGGTACACAGGTCGAAACAGACCCGATCCATTTCCCTCCTTTTCTTTCTCTCATTTCCTTCATTTCTTTTCCCTCTGATTATTCCCCCTCTCCCAATTCATTCCTTCATTTTCTCTTTTCTATTCTTTTCTATTAATCACAGTCGTCCATCATTTTTTTTTCATCACAGCCATACACATGGCACAACTCATTGCTCCAGATTTTCTGGAGCATTCTAAATGAAAGTAAAATTACCAAAACATCCTTGACTTTAAATGTTAATAACTTCTTTGTTATAACTCCGTTTTGTTGACTTTTGTGTTTTAGGTAGGATCCCTGATTGATATGTAATTTCGTGTATTCTCATGTAATTAGTTCTCTTTCCATTTATGTTAGGGTTATACACCTATAAGTACCTCTTATTGAGAAGACTACAATATAATTGAAAGCATTCTCTTCTCGTTTCACGAACGGTTTGCGCCTACGCGTTCGTGAGATCAGGCTCTATTTAAATATATAATTTCTGACCTCGAAAGGTATATGGATTTTAAATAATTAATTTCAGTAAGGGGAACAATTTTCATACCTGCGACTAAGTCCAATTTGGCCTGAAAAGCCTCAATTCCACTGAAATCCGTCAGAAGCCTAGTAATGGTTCCACTTCAATTTGATATTTCCAGTGTTCTGTCGCCCCAAATTATGTTTGGGGTTTGTTCCTGGGACCAAAACAAGTTGATTGATGGTGGTACTCGATGGTGGTACCTGCAAAATTGACCGATCGATGCCACACCCCAAGCAAACCCGTTGGCAAGCTCTAAGAGAAATCAAGGCCAATGTCACTAAATTTATGGGTGAAAATGGAAGAAAAGGGATCAGGATATTTCCCTCGATGAAATTTCACCCGAAAAAAGGGGTCGGAGGGACTGATTTGGTCGTCGGGGTACACGGGTCGAAACAGACCCAATCTTTTTCCCCCATTTTCTTTCTCTCATTTCCCTCCTTTCTTTTCCCTCTGATTATTCCCCATCTCCTAATTCCTTCCTTCATTTTCTCATTTCTATTCTTTTCTATCAATCACAGTCGTCCATCATTTTTTTTTTTCATCACAACCACACACATGACACAACTCATTGCTCCAGATTTTATGGAGCCTTCTAAATGAAAGCAAAATTACCAAAATATCCTTGACTTTAAACGTTAATAACTTCTTCGTTATAACTCCGTTTTGTTGACTTTTGTGTTTTAGGTAGGATCCCTGATTGATATGTAATTCCGTGTATTCTCATGTAATCACTTGTAATTAGTTCTCTTTCCATTTATGTTAGGATTGTACACCCATAAGTACCTCTTATTGAGAAGAATACAATATAATTGAAAGCATTCTCTTCTCGTTTCATGAATGGTTTGCGTCTAAGCGTTTGTGAGATCAGGCTCTATTTAAAAATATAATTTCTGACCTCGAAAGGTCTACGGATTTTAAATAATTAATTTCCAAACTTCAAACTTCAGAACTAGTTTAATTTAAAACTAAACTCAAATAAATTAATATAATTTATTGAAAAATTGTGACATCCCACATCGCCCAGGGGAGTGATCCTTATATGTATATTATCATCCCTACCTAGCACGAGGCCTTTTGAGAGCTCACTGGCTTCGGATTCCGTAGGAACTCCGAAGTTAAGCGAGAAGGGGGCTAGAGCAATCCTATGATGGGTGACCCACTGGGAAGTTGCTCGTGAGTTCCCAAAAACAAAACCGTGAGGGAATGGTAAGCCCAAAGCGGACAATATCGTGCTACAGTGGTGGAGCGGGCCCGGGAAGTGATCCGTCCCGGGCCGAGATGTGACAAAAATAACGTAAAATCTCAATAACACAAATACGTAAATTATAATAATTCCTGGAAACAAAACTTTAAAAGTTCCCAATTCAATTTTTCCACAACCATAAATCGATTTATTTTCGATTTTCTCCACATATGCATAATTATGAATATATAATTCATATATTTAAATTTTCATGGTATTACAAACCTGGTTTTTAAATTGGTTCAGTTTAAAGTCGTAAGGGAAATAGGATTGGCCGAGACCTTGAGAAGTTATAATCGAAGCATGATTATGGCCCGGCTATGAAGGGTTTTGCTGCTATAAATATAAAAGGTTGCATACATTCAAAGCCTCTCCAATTCAACACATAAACTGCCCTGCACAAACTCTCGCTCTACGCGAAACTTCTCAACAACCCTTGAGATTCTATCCTTCTCCTCTTTCTTCTGCCAACACATCTTTAGTAAGGATAAACAGCAATATGAAAGCAACCAGAGACATCTTCAATTTGGATAAACAACATTGGAGCCGTAGAATCAACCGATCAAGGAGCACCTTCAGTTTGGATAAATAGCACTGCTTCGAGACCAACTGGTTATTTATCCAAGTCTCAGTCGACAAGGATTTTCGAGTCCTTGTTGGTAGAGGTCATCTCATTTGCCTTTTCGGCAAAGTAAGTGATTGATGTTTTCCTTCTTCGTGCTAGAATATGTTTAGTATAATGGCACAAGTAAGGGTGTCGAATCCACAGGGACTAATTGGACCTATACAACTACTTGTTTTGCAAGAACTCTATAAGAGAAATAAAACTAATCAACTTAGGCAGATTTGTTGTTGTAACTTGAAAGCACAAGAAAATGAAGTAGACACAAATAAATGAATCAACAACTAATAAAATGAGATAGCACAAATGGAGATGAAGCTAGGGATTCGGTTTCACCATTGCTAAGCCAAGTCCATGCTTGTTGAATCAGATTATACTCATCCATCTACCTATTTCTTGGGTTTGTTTCACTTAGATATGATCAACCATATGATGTGTGGACTTGATCAAATGTTCCTAATCATGAACCTAAGTGTGATGTGCAACTTTGGTCCCTAATCAAGAACATGACACGCACAAGAAACTTTCATAAAACCAAAGGAAACACTCGGCAGGTTGTTTGCAAAGCATTCCCTTCATTCATTCACATATCCACCAAGAGTATGCATGATGTGTGCTTTACTCTTGGCTAAACAACCTGTGGTTAAATCAAATGGTGATCAAACATTAAAATCAACACACAAAGTCACAATTAAATCAGAGAATGAAACAAGAAATAGATGGATCAACTGAGCATTCTGAAATAACTACATGGCAATCTTGCAAGGCTACATCGAATCCCTAGAAAGAAATTAGTTACACTTCATGTTTACAGAATGTTTGATATAAAAATATACAACATGAATGAACATAGAATTAAGGAGAAAGAAGCTTTGAAGCAAAACTGATGTCGAAATCCCTTAAGAGTTGCCTTCGGTGTTGGTGCTCCAAGTGTGTTGTAAATGAAGGTGGAGCGGCTAAGGTTGAATGGTTTCTGCGAATGGGAGAGTGTATGGACAGTTTCTGCGAATGGGAGAGTGTATGAAATGGAAGGGGATTTGCGGCAGATTGGATGTGTTTGTGGTATCTTGTGTATGAAAATGAGATGTGTTTAGGTAATGGGAATGCAAGGGTATTTATAGGAGGAGTGGAGGTGTATATGGCTGTTTGTTTAAGGTGTTTGTGGCTGGTTAATGATGGAAAAACAGCTAGAAAAGCATGTGAAAGCTGGAATTGCATGTGGCAAAGTGTGTATGTGCTGGAATGG